GAACGAAATTTTTTTGATCAAGGTTTTGAAGCTTGATTTGGGTAATTTGGAGCTTCTACTACTTGGTATTACACTTCAAGATGTAAGGATCCTTTCCTAATTAAGTTTATTTCTAACATAGGGCTGGAATATGAAATGAGTAGGGTGTTAGAGATGAAATCTCCTGTATAACACATACCTGGGGTGTTACAATATGGAAATGGGTAAAAAAATATGTTTAAACCAATTCTTGTATGAATGGGTTTGATGAAATTACTTGCTTTGAAATTTCATATGAAATGTGATGAATTGGGCTTTAAATAACAATTGTGCCTTATAGGTGTTCGAAAAAATCCCATGAATGATTAATATTTTATTTGAATGAAAATAATTTAACACGCTTGGTGATGTTGTGGATTATGATTACATGCGTATGATATAATTGAAAATTGAGAAATTGGGAAATGTTGATAAAGACTGAATGTGTTCATAATATGCTCATGATATGTTGAACATGGTATTGAAATTATAATTGTGTACTACATTGGCATATGCATGAGTGACATCGCATTTGTGGGCATTTGACTTGAGTGCAGGTGTGTGTACATGTTTTTTATCAAACACCGTCCTCTGTAGGTTGATACATGAGCTCGAAAAAGGTTGAACTTGGGTAAGATTGAGTCTCACGAATTGCATTGAAAACAAGGGTCGGGGTTAACAACAAGGGGTAGATTCTCCCTCGGATGCAAGACCCGAAAAAATTTGGATGTGCACTCTTATTGGTATAGAGTCCATAAAGTATGTCAGCATATGTGAAGTTGTTGGTAGAAGTCCATAGATGTCATGTCGGTTGAGTACTCGTTGGTGGAAGTCCATAAATACCCACCCCAAGAAAAACCCAAGGATTTTATAACATGGTCATTGGATTTTTTACATTAATGGCGGGGGCTTGGAATATTCGAATGGATACGCATGACATTGCATGTGTTCTGGAAGTCGGTGAAGGGATTGAGTTGTATTGCATGTGTGAGTATCATCTCATAACATGACATGACATTATGGTATTTATTTATGAATTGCATATTTTGAATGAATGATTGATGGATGAATTGCATGTGAACATTGCATATACATCTGAGTTGAGAAATAGCCTCTTTAGAAGATACGCTATTGAGCGTGGTTCACCCTTTATGGGAATGAAATTTCAAGTGTCAGGCAAACGCCAGTGAACGGCCCTCACTTGGGCCATTTTTTTATGAAGCAGCCGGAATGTGGCTTTGAAATTATGTTTTTGTAATCAATTATATAATTTATTTTAAACTTATAAAATTGTGCAAAAGGTTATGTAACGAACTCTTATGGACTAGAATTTGTGTAAATGAATGAATGGATGAGCGTGGGAAGTGATTGGATGGTTAAAGATTAAAGATGGGAAAGAATTGAAGAAAATCTGGGTTCAACTACTGGTACCTAAGTAATTAAGCACCGGTACCACACTGTCGGATGACCCAAGTACTGGTACGTAGACCTGTAGGCACCAGTACCTGGATTCCAATGAAATCAGGTATCGGTACCCAGACATCAGATACTGGAACCCTGAAGGACAGTGAGCTTAGGTACTTGTACCAAGGCACTTTAGGTATCAGTACCTGGAAAACAAAAAGCCTAGGTACCAGTACCACGTATACGAGGTACCAGTACCACGTATACGAGGTACCGGTACCTCTTTCCAAAACTTGAAATTTTAAAATATAACATCGACAGACATTCAACCCCTATGAACAATGTAAATAGATAATAATAAACTCAAATTACTAGGGTTTGGACTTTGGAATAGTCATGTGATGGATATGTGTACAGATTATGTGTTGGGTAGTGCTCCAGTACAAATGAGACTCTACTTGAATAATGTTTTGGTTATAATCCCGGTGAATGGGGGTATTATGACATGGTATCAGGTTATGCGGTACTCACGACACGAGTATACTTTCACAGGTTGATGGATAATCAACGAATTGAAAAAGATCCCTCAGATTTTGGGGCGTCACACTTAAGCAGGCAATATGAACAGCATGCTATTCCATCTGTATAGTCACGCTGGTTATAGCATCACCATTAGAGATGCCCAAAAAATCCTCTAGACGAATCACACATTCATGTAACTTAGCAGCATTTCCACCAGCCATGATAAAAAACTGTGGCTCTGATACCAACGATTATGAGAGTTTCACTCAAATTTTGTCTCGTGATGGCACTGAGATCCAACACTCAGTCTCAGCTAATGCAGTCAAATACTCACAAAAATGCACACACGAACAAAATATGGGCAAACACACCAACTCACAACACAAGCTATACAAGCCAAATGGCCAAACCTTTTACTTCTCAGCAAGCCTAAAGGAAACTAGCTAGGGGTCTGCTTATAAAACGTGTCCAAACTCTCTTAGTTGCATGTCGACCCTAACATGCCTATATATAACATACAAAGTAGCGGTTATAAGCCCAACCATCTAGGCCATGAAAGACACTAGTCAGATTCGTCCACAAAACTTTTCACAATCTGTTGATCATGGATGAATCTCTTTGCCACTCCCACAATGTGCTAATTATGCCAAGGGGCAACAATTTAGCCACATGCCATAACCATTCTCATGTTGGGCACATGCCAACAACTGCACATAACTGCCCTACATGTCATGCACATGCCAGGAAGCGTCTGGAACCGCCACCATTTACAGTGCACATGCCTCAACTATTCGGAACCCCCCTCATATGTTGTGCACCTGCCTTCCTTGTGAGCCCACAACACTTGATTAACCTTGCCTTTGTGCCAAGTCATGCTCAACCCATGGCTTAGTTTTCTAAACTAGCAATGCCCCCCAATTCAAGCCTATCGGCTAACCTTGTTTGCTTGTGCCTAACGTGCCCATGCATGAGCTACCTTCCTTAGACATGCATGAGGCTTCAATCAACCCACTAGTCATGCCCAATGTGCCTATGCATGCGCTACCTCCCTTAGCCATGCTTGGAGTTTCCACCAACGACGAGTCGCACCGATCATCAGCCCCGCATCTTAGGACTCAGACTTTAGAATGTCTTGCCTCCGCCTATGGTAAGCATTTATTGGGGTCATATCTTACTTTAGTGTGTCAAGGTTTAGGGCATAAGGGTATCTAGGGAGGTTGGTCTGGAACCCCATTCACGAAACACCTCCTTATAATAGCGTTACTGAGCAAAACACTATTGGTAGCAATAAACATACTCTGAGCTAAGGAGTTATAATAACTTGAGCTAGGGGCATAATCGTGGTATGCCACTTGAGCCTTTGTTGAACCACTTGATAACCCAATCAAGTATATGTTCAAGTCCTTAGGAAACCAACTTTGCACTAAGAGTTTATTTCACCAAGCACAACCCAATTTGGTTAAGGCATAGGCACCTTTGGGTGAGGCAGCCACATGCCAAAGTCGAGCCAACAAACTAAGGGGGTAACAATTGATCTCTACCCCAAGACTCGATTCACGACATATCAAATTTGTTGTTAAATTTTTGGAGAGAGAGAGAGAAAGTAAAAAGAGATGTACACGTTAAGAGGGTGGAGGGTGGAAGGGCTTCTTCGGGTGTTTGGGAAGAATAAAGGTGTTTGGATAAATGTGAGTAAGTGTTAAGATAGGATTAATATATTTTGATGTTGGATATGTTTACAAATAAGATAATCTTATTTAAAAAAGAAATAAAAGGTTCAAACTTGGTATTTTAAATATATATTTGTTTATTTAAGTAGGGTAGTAATACCAATTAAATAGGGGTTTCAATATAATTTTTGAAATGGGATGGGGATCTGTGTAATAAAACTAAATGTGTGGAGATATGAGTGATATTTACCCTCCAAATTTTAACAATTAATAGTACTACACTTATAAGTAAGACAACTTTAAATCTAAAGGGTAAATTGAAATTTAATCTTAAAGTTTTAATCCAATTGTAGGTAACTGAGAAAACCAAATTGAGATTTACAAAATACATCATGGACAATCTAGGCCTATCCTACAACTTGACAAAGGCAGTCGGTGGGATAAGATTAACCTGTGCAGCTGCAAAGCCTACAATGACCTAGACCTGCATATATTTTTCCAACTTAAGGCGGTTGCAAAGCTGTCCCCACCACACTGTCCCTACATTGAAAAGATTCTCAATCAACGGTCCCCATCGCATGATCAATGATTTACATTCTGATTCCAAGTCTCTAATCCATACATGATAAAATCCATCCGCTCCCACTGCGGGTCCCACACAATTAACACCTGTCGCCTACACTCACTCACAATGCCGATCCGATAATCCTCATCATCAACAACCCTGTATCCAGAAGCTATTTATCATCCTTGATGCTCCTCATTTGCACATTAGTCATCCCGTGTAGCAGTAGAGGCCTAACCATTTTCAATCTGTTCCGATATATATAGAAAATCAATTCATTTCTCTTTCCGCATAAACACTCAAAACACCTTCCTCACTCTGTTTTCATCATCATCGTCGTCGTCATCCACAGGATCAACCAGAAAATAGCGATCAAAACTACCACCGAGAAATCCTGATTTCTCAATCCCAAGTCGGTCTTCGAAACTCTCGAAAGAGCGATCAACGTCACCACAACTAGGTAATACACAAAAACCACAAAAAATTGGTTGATTAGTTGTCGGAATAAGCCTATGCAACTTGGTAATTTAGTGCTCATTGAGTCTCGCTTTGTTTTGTTTTCTCTTTCTGATCATTATCTTTTTGTGTATTTGCATATTTTTGTATCAATAAAGCATTTTTGCTATCGAATTGATCAGTTCTTCTACTGATTTTATTTTGTGTTCTTGAAGTTACAGTGGTTGTTGGTTCTGTGATTTTGTTATACGAATGAGCGAATTTCGTCAGTAATTATGTTGTGTTGCAGTTTTGATTGGTAATTCGAAGTCTTCTTTCTTTTTTATGAATGCAGGAGTGAAAAGATATCAAACATTGGTAATAGTATGGGGAATCGAGGCCAGAAAAGGGCCGAAACAGGTGATGAATTGCCAGCAGATAAGCGAGCGTGTAGTTCTTTGGATAGACCGAGTTCATCAAATTCATCAGTTCAGACGCCGATGAACTCCAGGAATTCAGTTGGCGACAATGACGCGGACACATCATCATCAAGTTCAGGGTCAGCATCCGAGAACGAGGGTGAAAAGGATTCTGCATATGGTTCTTGTGATTCGAGTATTAATTTCCGTGACTACCAGAGAAGACGATCATTTGTTGATCATAGCAAATTAAGGAGGGTTTTGTCGAGTCTGAGTGAGGAGGGTGACGAATCCGGGCAGTTGGCTGCTCTCACAGAGCTATGTGAATTGTTGTCTTTTTGTACAGATAGCTCATTATCGGGTTTGAACGCTGACTCTTTATCTCCGACACTTGTTAAGTTGGCAAGGCATGATAGTAACCCTGATATAATGCTTTTAGCTATCAGAGCTATAACTTATCTATGCGATGTTCATCCTCGATCCTCGGGGTATCTTGTCAGACACGATGCAGTTCCTGCTCTTTGTCAGAGACTGATGAGCATTGAGTACTTGGACGTGGCTGAACAAGTATGCTAAGACCTTGATGTCGTAAATTTTTTTAAAGGAAAGATATTATATGTATGCTGAACATTTAGCGCAAACTCTGTTGCATGAGTCTTATGATACATTTTCTTTTGTCTTCGATAGTGTTTGCAAGCATTAGAGAAAATCTCGCGTGAGCAACCGCCTGCCTGCTTACAATCTGGTGCAATTATGGCTGTTCTAAGCTATATTGATTTCTTCTCAACGAGTGTGCAGGTAATGTATTATGAGACATATTAGGTCAAATGTTGGGAGCATTATTTCTGACGCTGTGGCCATAAAAAGATCAAGAACTGATATTTTTTTACCATTTTTTTGCATTTTAGAGGGTTGCACTTTCCACGGTGGTAAACATATGTAAGAAATTACCTTCTGAAGGCCCATCTCCATTCATGGAGGCAGTTCCGATATTGTGTAATCTTCTTCAGTATGAGGACAGGCAGGTATACATTTGTAGAGTTTTATTTCTCTGGAATGGTTTGTGGCGTGAAAATACTTTACGGTCTTTACCCCTATAGTTTTTGACATTGCCCGACTCACTTCATCCTATTCTCTCAGCTTGTTGAAGATGTAGCTACTTGCTTAATAATGATAGCAGAGCGAGTGGACCACTCATCTGATATGCTGGATGAACTTTGTAAACATGGGTTAATTCATCAAGCTACCCATCTCATAGGCTTGAATAGTCGCACCACTATATGCCAGTCAATTTACACTGTATGCAGATCTTTTTCATTCAGTTTTTCCCTGACACTTAGCAGTTCTACTTGTCCTATGTCCTCTCAGTGATGTTTTTTGATTTGGTTGGCAGGGTTTAATAGGATTACTTGTCAAACTTGCCTCTGGTTCAAATGTAGCTGCCAGGACTCTTTTTGAGCTCAATATAAGCAGCACATTGAAGGATATTTTGTCTACTTATGGTCTCTCAAATGGAATGCCTTCTCCTCGTATGGTTGAAGGACATTGCAATCAGGTCTATATCCAATGTTACTCAAATTTTCTGATTTCTTGTGCTGAGCAACAAATTTTTTCTTATTTTTTATTTTGCATTTATTTTAAACATTTCATTGCTATGATAATACTGGACAGTCGTTTGCTATAATAATTCAAGGCAATCAATTTTGAGTTTTTTATTCTGTCCCAAGTCCTAACAACCATTTAGAGTTGGAACAAATTTTTGTCGAGTTTGGACTCCACGGGGAGAATTTCTTCTATGTATCAATGTCAGAAGGAATATATGAGGAGGATCGTTATCGGTCAAACAGTATTTTATGTGGACAGCGTTTGATGAGTTAATTTGTGTCAGAATGATGCATTTCTGTTTAACTTCCAATTTAATTAAATATGTTTCAAAACTTATGGTTAAGCTTACCTGGTGCCTGTACTAATTATTCTCATGGAGAAGAAAAATCTAATTTTATACAACTGACCAAGTCATTACCCAATTCCTTAGGCTGCAGCATCAAATGAAAAGTTGTTTTTCTTAATGATAGTTTAATTAGATCAGATGAGGAATTAAATAATGAAGTTGTTTTTTAAAAATATCTTCAAGACAGAAGTCGGCTTGAAAGATTCTGTAAATAATTCTCCTAGCGGTACTCTTCTTGTACCTTTTTTTTTTTTATCACTGAATATGTTTGTTTGCAGGTAATAATAAAATAAGCCAAAACACAAAAGTATGACTGACGTGCAAAACCCATACGATATGTTTGCTTTCTTTCTCTTTGACATAGATTATCAAAACATATTGACCCATGAGTGGTGAAAGAACTGAGAACCAAACGATTTAATGACAGGCTGAGGATCTATATAACATTGAGATTGAGACTCATGAAGATTCTTAGCCTAGGTTTGGAAGACCTTAATCATATCAATGTGTCCTAAATTTTAACTTGCACTAAATCTTTGCATTTAGATATGTTGGTGCTAATTGCACTGGCATGTTTCACATAATTGTGCTTCTAAGCCTCATCTTATCTCCGGTCTACTCTGTCCAGCACTTTCTATAAACAAGACCAACTGGAGACTGGCCTTTCAGTGCAAGCTCGTTTATTTATTTATTTTTTGTTTTTAGGTGCCAATGCCATGGGGACAAGGCCCTTTGTTTTACGCGAAAGATCTCCACATAGACATGGATAAAAAAAAAAGTTAAAATGATCGTGGTACAAATTTTTACCTTTAATTTATTGGAAGTTTGTTTTTCTTCCTGTAATTACCCAAGTTAAATTAAAATCATGGTTGTAAGTTCCTTCTGTCATTGATACCCCAGGCAAAAGAAAAAAAGACCGATGTGTGGCAAGTTAATAAAGACAGCATATGAATGCAATGGTCAGAAGATTGATTGCTCAAATCAAGGGCGGTATGAGAGGTTTCATAGGTTTAATGAAAATCAATGGATGCGACACCAAGAATTGGATGCGACACCAAGAATTGATAATAATTATTAAATGTAGCAGTAAACAAGATTTTGTCTGTTAGGGCACAATGATGAAAATCACAATGACGAAAAGCATTCATGTAGCTGATACCAATAATTGGGTTGAAGTTAGAAGTCTTTATTGGCAGTTGGAAGCTTTAGAAGTAAAGGTTGGTGGGGTTTGCTGCCATCAGTTTTGGTTCTATAACATATGTAGCTAATTATATTATGTTCGGCGATTCTGTAACCTATGAGACATTCAATTAACTCCTTTCTCTTGGAACCTTGTCAAGTAGTGAATTGAATAGCGTAACATAACATAAGATATGATTGGGGTTTTTCATCATATTATGTTTGCTTATACTATTTAAGGTTATTATTAAGCATTCAGTCTGCCCAATCTTGTAGATCCCTGCACTTTTAACTTAACGGGTCATGATGACCTTCGCAACTTGCTTTTGACATAATAATATTTCATTTTGCTCTGTTTTTGGGTTGTGTTTATGGATTTTTTGGGGCAATTTTTATTGACATTAAATTATGTAAAGTAGAGGTAAGGTTGCTCCACTCTCTGTTACATGAGCATCACAAGTTTGAGTTATAGAAACAGTCTCTCTAGTGTAAGGTTGCATACACTGACCCTCTCCAAACCCCGAAAGAATGGATCATTATTGAGAATCAATAGATCAAAGTAAAACCACAAAAACCATAACCAAAAACACTGCAGGGAAATCATGTTTTAAATGAAGTGACCCATCTCAACCCAATAGAGCTCTATTTCAGCTGTTTCAGGTTGGATGCATAAATTCTGATCTTGTCAACTACTGGTAAGTTATGTGCATAAAACTTAAGTTCTTATTGGAGTGGAGTGTTTGTATTGTAGTGTTGTGAAGCATTCTTCCTTTCTCTAAAATATTGTAAATGTCTTCTTTAGTATCTATGTTGGGTCAATGTGTAGTCGTTGATTACATTCTTAGCTGCAATCCTTTTATCTTTGAGGTAATTCATTAATGCTTTTAGCCTTCAGTTGTTTTTGAACTTTTATATGACTATGTGAGAATAGACTGCGAGTTCTATATACGCTTAAAAAGAATGGATGGTGTACTTCAATAAATTCTTTGTCAGGTACATGAAGTTTTGAAGTTGTTGAATGAGCTTCTCCCTGCTATAGCCAGAGATCAAAATACTCAGTTAGCCTCAAATAAGGAGGCTTTTCTGGTTAATCGACCTGATCTACTGGACAAGTTTGGAGCGGACTTACTTCCTGTGTTGATCCAGGTCAGTTCTTGGATTATGTTGTATCTGACTTGCTTTTTGTTTTCCCCAGTTTTGTAATAGTTTGTCTTCATCTTCGAGCAGGTGGTTAATTCTGGTGTGAATTTATATGTTTGTTATGGCTGTCTATCTGTTATCAACAAGTTAGTTTATTTCAGCAAATCTGACTTGCTTTCGAGCATCAATATTTCAAGGTGAAAGGGTAGTTTTGGCCTCTTTTCCCCCTTGTGATTTTACAAATTATGAATATTGTAAGGAAACCAAATATTTTCTTGTGTATCATGTGACAGTTTCTTGGCTGGAGTATTTACTCGGAAGGAACACCATGTACTAGTAGTAGGCCTTCAGATTGTTGATACACTCCTGCAAAAGTTTTCTGATGCTTTATTGAACCCTTTTGTAAAAGAAGGTGTCTTTTTCGCCATTGATGCACTTCTACTGCAAGAGAAGTGTTCGCCGTTTATGTTTCCACTGGTTAATGGCACCAACCTGTCAAATGTTTCGAGTCAGAAATCTTCTGGAAGAGATATCCTGAGATGCTTATGTTATTCTTTCGATACTAGTCAGTCTTCATGGGCTTCTGAATCCGGGACTTGCAAGCTTGAAAGAGATTCTGTTCCTAATCTTGCAAAGCAAATAAAGAACAGTTATGTTGCCACTGATTTAATAAACCCTGAGAGAGGATTAACTGATATTCTTTTGAAGCTCAAAACTTTATCTGCTACATTGACAGATCTGGTGAGCATCTCCATGAAAAATGATGCTTCTGTGCAGCATGAAGAAGAGTTTTATTGTACGTTACATCAGATTATGTCGCTGCTTAATGGAAGGGATCACATTTCCACTTTTGAATTTGTGGAAAGTGGAGTTGTGAAATCATTAGTTAATTTCCTATACAATGGTCGATATCTAAGAGGAGAACGAGTCATTAACGACATTGTACAAAGAAGATTTGAGGTTTTTGGAAGACTACTTTTTTCTTCTTCAGACCCACCTGTAGAGGTCTTCCCTCTATCAGCGCTAGTTCAGAGACTACAAAGTGCACTCTCATCTGTGGAAAACTTTCCTGTTATTTTGAGCCATTCATTTAAGCAAAAGAACTCATATGCCACTGTTCCCCATGGACGTTGCATGGGGCATCCATGTCTGAAAGTGCAGTTTGTGAGAGGAGAGGGAGAGACATGCCTGAGTGATTACTCTGAAGATGTTGTGACCATTGACCCCTTTTCTTCTTTGGATTCAATTGAAAAATACTTGTTGCCCAAAGTAAGTTCAAACAAAACTGGATGCAGAAAATCATCCACTCAACCTTTGAGTGGAAAGGAGGGTCCACATTCTCGTTTATCATCAGATGCCAGCTCTGCTCAAGGCAAAAATACAGATCTTGTGGACTCCAATAGCATGTCCTCTGATGTGCATGAGATGCAGGTTGTTCTCACTTAGTTCCTGTGCAACTGATTGGAGCTAATATCCCTTTTTCTTCCTTCTTGAAACTAGAAAATTATTTCCCTTCCGCATTTTTTATTCTGCGTGGGCTTTGAATTATTTTGCTAGTTACATTTCAGCTTTGTTTTCTGCAGGCAGACATGCCTAACTTGGCAGAATCTCCATCTGCAGAAGCAGCCAGTTTAGGACATACGGCAGTTGAATCAACAGGTTTAAGTGAAGTTAAAACTGTAAGTTGACCCTCCCTTTAGTAATTTGTGTGATCTCATTTACTGCCCCCAACTGTTTGATATGCACTGCAGGAGATCCATTGTTCTCTTAGGTTTCTTGTTCTTAGTATTTTTCTAATATCTGTCCTTAATTCTTATTTCAAAAACCTTTCTTAGCTGGCCTGGGCCTTCCAGTGCAAATACATTGATGGTGCTGCTAGAACTAGCTTCTTGACTAGATTATTGGTTATGTCCATATCTTCCTTGTTTCCATCTGTGGCTTACTTTTATCCTCTATGGCTTTGATAATTTTGTATTTCAGGACCCTGTGGACCAAGAACGGCATACTTCTTATTCAGAGGACAGCGGTAAGAGACCAGAGTATCCACTATCCTGTAGCAACAAAGATGCCTTACCAAACTTGCTGTTTTATCTAGAAGAGCAACAGCTGGATGGGGAATTAACACTGTATCAAGCTCTTCTCCAACAGCAAATTAAAGCAGAAAATGAACTGTTTACTAGTGCAAAATTATGGAGTCAAGTATACAAAATATCATACAGAAGAGCTGTGAAACCTAAACAAAGTTGTTTCAAATGTTGTTGTCATCAGGCTCTTTGTTCTTGTATATTGGAGAAAGCTGGGGCATTTTTGCACCACACTCCATTTTTCTCTGCCATGTTTGCTTCTGAACTTGTTTTGGATGTGGAAACGCCAAGCCCAACTTATGACATAATACTTCTGCTTAAAAGTTTGGAAGGCATGAACCGGTTCCGATTTCATTTGATGGCTCGGGACAGAACATCTGCATTTGCTGAAGGAAGAATTGGCAACTTGGACAACATAATGATAGCAGTTTCTGATGTCCTGCAGAACGAGTTTGTGAGCTGCAAACTGACAGAAAAACTTGAACAGCAAATGCAGGATCATTTGGCTGTGTCCATTGGTGGCATGCCTTCATGGTGTACCCAGTTAATGGCTTCCTGTCCATTTTTATTTGGTTTTGAGGCAAGAACTAAGTACTTTCGATTGGCAGCATTAGGTCAAAGGCAAGTTCACCCTCATCCATCATCTCATAATAATTTGGGTGGCCCAAGTAGCAGACAGCAAAACAATGGGGGATTTCCTCGTAAAAAATTTTTAGTTTACCGAAATCGAATTTTGGACTCTGCAACCCAGATGATGGATACATATGCCCGCCAAAAAGTTTTTCTTGAGGTGGAATATGATGATGAAGTTGGAACTGGTGTTGGCCCCACATTGGAATTCTATACACTTGTCAGTCACGAATTTCAGCGGTCTGGCCTTGGTATGTGGAGAGAAGACAATATGTCATTTAGCTACATGAAAAGCTTACAGGCAGAGGATTCTGGAAGTGTGGTGTCTCCTTTTGGGCTTTTCCCTTGCCCATGGTCACCTGCTGTGAAAACATCAGGTGGTATAGAGTTTTCAGAAGTGATCAAAAAGTTTGTCCTTCTGGGACAGGTTGTAGCAAAGGCTCTTCAAGATGGAAGGGTTTTGGATCTTCCCTTCTCCAAAGGTTTTTATAAACTCATTCTAGGGCAGGTAGGCTTGCAATATATTTGACCTTCTGTTTTGATTTTGTTAATACTTCCTGGTACTAAATTTTTGTTATTTACACAACCCTTTCTGCAGGAGCTCACAGTGCATGACATCCCATTGTTTGATCCTGGGCTTGGTAGGGCCCTTCTGGAGTTTCAGGCTCTTGTTGAAAGAAATAGATATTTGGATTCCATCCGTGGAGAAGAATCAACATTTAAACTTGACTCATGCTTCCGTAATACCAGAATTGAGGATCTTTGCCTTGATTTTACTCTTCCGGGGTATCCTGATTATGTTCTCTCTTCCGAACCTGATTTAAGGATGGTTAGATTTCGTTTTGGTGACCTATGATTTTCTAAATATTTTTGGATTGATTAATTTCATTCTCAAATTGTAGAATTCATGTTCTTGCCTAGGTAAATATTATCAACTTGGAGGAATATATTTCACTCGTTGTGGATGCAACTATAAATTCTGGAATTTCCAGACAAGTGGAAGCTTTTAAATCAGGATTTAATCAGGTTTGTGATAACGCACATTTTCTTTACCTTAATTCTTTGTTGTGCCTATCTCACCTACTATGATGTGTCATATTAAGAACTACTCGTCCTCTTCTCTTACTATCTGATATGTTGGTTGAATAATTTCTTATATACACTCTTATGACATCATGTGTGATTGATATGTGATGGTGTTCGCGATATCTACAACAATAGTTATTCCTGCTTGGCTTTGTCTGAGCACTCGAGTTCTTAGGTGTGAGATTTGCTAATATCTTTTGTCAATCTATACATTCTTTGATAGTAGTTGTGAAGATTTTTTCTTTTTTTTTTTTGTCTTTTTTCCGTTGAACTACTGCTTCTCCCTTTTAACAGGCACTAGACTGATACTCTGCTTTTTTGCAGTAATCTAGATGACATGACATTTCTTGATTCTTCAGGTTATGCCAATCAGGCATCTCCAGATTTTCACTGAGGAGAATTGGAGCGTTTATTATGTGGAGAAAGGGAATTTTGGAATGTATGTATTTTTTTAAGCTGCTCAATTAATCTGAATTGCGATGTGCCAATGAACCTTTACTTGGATGTATTATTCTTGTTCCTCTGGCAGTCAAACGAACTTTTGGATCACGTCAAGTTTGATCATGGATACACTGCTAGCAGTCCTCCCATTATAAGTGTTAGTGTTATTCCCCTTTCCTCACTTATTTTCAATTCTCCTAACCTCAATAACTTTACACTTATAACTTCGCTCTTCTGAAGTACAGTTGCTAGAAATTATACAAGAGTTTAATCATGAGCAGCAAAGAGCATTCTTGAGGTTTATGACTGGGGCACCTCGTCTCCCTCTTGGGGGTTTGGCGTCTCTAAATCCAAAATTGACAATTGTCCGTAAGGTCTGCCCTTGAGATACACCTTCATTACCGCCTCATTTCTTATTTATCTTTCTAGTTTCTGTTGACTGTTTGCTTACCTCCTTTTCTTTTCTTCTTAACCCGACAGCACTGTAGCAAATGGGTGGATGCTGACCTGCCCAGCGTGATGACTTGTGCCAATTATCTGAAGCTGCCACCTTACTCTTCAAAAGTCGACCTTTTTCTTTTCCTTCATCATTTGTTTTGCTCATTTAAGTTATTTCTTGAAAGAAACCAGTTTCTCATATTATGTTTGTTGCATATGCAGGAGAAGATGAAAGAGAAGCTTTTATATGCCATGACAGAAGGACAGGGATCATTCCACCTCTCTTAGCTTCCAGTATCTTGGACAAAAACAGGTAGATAAACTGTGAATATGTGATTATGCAGATGTCTATTTGTAAATACTGGGTAAATATGGGGTTAGTTGGTCCAGTTTGTTAGGGGAACTGGACAGGGAAAATATGTGAATAGGTTATAAATTTAGAAAAATTTTATTTATAGATTGTCATAACAGTAACAGTTGGCTTAAGGTGCATTTTCTGAATTAATACTCATTTGTTCTGTCGTTTTGATTTTTTCCTATATGCATATACACTTTAGCAAGGCTCCGAGGGTATTAATTTGCAGTCTTGACAAGTTTATTCATATCATGTTGTGTATAGGTCATGCTGGCTGAATCCATGTCACTTCATCTATTGAGTGAGAGTGACAAATTCATCCGTTTATTATCCAAACTAGATAAAGTTAAATGTATACTTGTTAGTTAGGTTTATTTCGTGTTGAATGCTATTTGTATAGTAATGACAAGTATCGAAGGTTTCTTATATAGTCGAATACACTGCTTGTTAACTTTTAAATATTTTTCAAAAAAATGAAATAAAAAGTTTAACCTAATTATTAATAGCAATTTATATCATCTTAGTGTATGCATGATATCCATACATATGTTATGTGCATATGTGAATATATCTATATAATAAAACACTTAGGAGTTTGAAAGTTTATCCCTTGTATATTTTTTTCCCTAAAAAAATAACACATTACCTAATTTTATTACATGTTCAATCATTTTATATATGATTAATTTATACGTTAAAATAATTTTTATTTCATATATTGTTCATATACGGTAGTGTACTCATTTTGAGAAAATTTTGATTTTGAGAAAATTTTGATAATATTTTTAAAAAATAATGGGTAAAAATTAATTTTAAATAATGTGATTAAAGAAATGAAGAAAATAGATGATATTAAAAAATTGTTAATTAGTATAATGTAATCAATTTTTTGAACACTCGAATCTTGTGTTTTATCGTGTTTTTAAGACACGAGTTATATCTACTATGCCAATAAGCTTGGAAGATGATGGCAAATATAAAAGAAGAAAAAATGAAAGTGCAAAGCAAAAGTTTTGAAAAAATTTAAAAAATATCTTTAGAAAATGTTTTCAACACTATTTAGAGGGAAAATTTAGAGAGTTTCCGTAAAGATTTCCTACAACTAGGAATTGACAAAACATAATTAAGCTTCCCTCTATTATATTTTTTCTGTTTTTTATTTTGGTGGATCACCTAAGGTGTTTAAGTTGGTTCCTCACACATTAATGGTGGATGAGAAGAAAAATAGAGAAAAACTAGGAATTTTTTTTTTTTGATTCATTAGAAAATTAAAAGACCTAAACTAAATAGAGTTCTTAGAAAAAACAATACTGGTCATATCAGCCATAAGGACAACATTAGACATTTGGGGTGGTGGATCTTATAGCTCCACGAACGCCTCTAACTATTGAACACCGAGATTAGCCAAAGCATCTGCACATTGGTTTCCTTCTCTGAAGGTGTGGATAATGGGGATATGGTTAGTCCACATCATATTTATGCAACTCCTGATGATGGCTTTTCTTGGGTGTACCTCATTTGGATCAGTTGAAAGCAACTTATCTTCCGACAAGTCTGTTTCTACAACGACATAAGTAATCTGTCGCCTTAGCAAGAGTTCAAGCCCTTTCAAAATCGCTCAAAGCTCCGCTTGAATGCTTTGTTGTATCATTCATTCTCCCATAAAAACCTGTAATCTACTTGCCTTGGTCATTCTTGATAATTCCTCCTATTCCCGCTGGTCCAGGATTTCCTTTGGAACATCTATCAGTATTAAGCTTGTTCCATCCTGCAGAAGGGAAAGACCATCCAATCAGATTAGGAAAAACTCCATTCACAGTCAAATGAAAATCCTAAAAAGCTTTGGTAAAGTCAAGGGCAAGAAGCCAGGCTTCCTTTGCAACAATTTTGGTGGGTTGGGAGAGAGGGGAAGTGATATTCGAAATGGTCTTGCCGATTTCTATCTTTCCATATGTGCCAGACAATGCATATCCAAATCACAAGTCATTTGACTCCTTTCCACTCTTTGACCTTTCTTTCTTTACAATTCAGCTTTATCCAAAAATGCAAATCCCCTAATTTGTCAATTTTCCTTTCCTGAGAATTCAGAAACAACTTGCAAATTATTTGTGCTTTTGGGCAGTCACGAATAATATGCAAGGTGGATTCTAACATATCATTACATCTACAACAAGATGCATCATTATCCATATTCCTTAATGCCCTAAGAAAGTTAGAGAGAATTCTATCATATGCTGGATAAGTTATAAGAAGAATTTTAGCTTCTATGGAAGTTTCAACTTCTAGATCCAGTTCCAATCAAGGTTTGGGTACCTCACTTCAGAGGACCCAGTTAAAAGCTTAAAAGCAGCTTTAGTCAAATACTTACCATTATTAGAATACCCCCAACAAACAGTATTCTAATAATCACTAGGCTTGGAAATAGAAGTATGCAAAATATCATGACATAAAGAGTGAGGGAGGAGTGTACCTGCCTCCTGGAGATTCTCGCTACCATACTCATCAATGAAATCAACCACCTTTATGTTAAGGTGAGAAGCATTAAGTTGATCCACAAGTGGGCTTTTATCAATCCACCAATCAATTTAGAAGTTAATCTGTGAACCATCCCCAATTAACAATTTAGAACTCATATTCACTAAATGTTTAGTCTTAACAATAGCTTTCCATGTGGAAGAACTCACCGCCTTAGCATTCCAACTAGAATCATCTTGACCAACATATTTGCTCTTGACAACTTCAACCCAAAGGGTTTTTTCTTTATTTTTCAATTTCCAACCAATTTGGATAAGGGTGCCACATTATTTTCCCTACTTTTTCTTATTCCCAGCCCTCCTTCTTCTCTGGGGGTACAAACATTATTCCAATTAATAAGGTGCACTTCTTTTTTTCAAGTGTGTCTCCCCAAAGAAAGTTCTCAGTAAGCCTATCCAACTAGTCACAAGTTGATTATGGCAACCAATTAGATTGCATAACATAGTTAAGGAGTACAGACGTGACAGCTTTAACAAGTGTGGCTCTACCAGCTAAGGATAGAATCCTTGCCTTCCAACCACCAAGTCTATTTTGAATTTTTTCAATGACGAATTTAAAATGGTCTTTGGAAGATCTTTTATGCATAATAGGAATATCTGGATATTGTCCTAGATCCTTTATGGGAGTAATTCCACATTTGTTACTTAGGTAGAGTGCATGACTTTTACTAATGTTGGTGAGAAGAAAATTTTAGACTTATTAAGGCTCACTCTTTGACTTGACATAGAACAAAAATCTTCCAGAACTTTAATCATGAGATAGTCTCTCTCTGAGACTTTGGAAAACAAAATAATATCATCAGCAAACATTAAATGAGAAATAATAGGTTATCTTCTAGAAGCTTAAATCCCTTTGCAAGACCCCTTCAGGACCTTTTCTAGGATTAATTGCCCTAGTCTCTCCATACAGAGAACAAACAAGTAAGGAGAAAGAGGATCTCCTTGCCTCAATCCCCTTTTAGATTTGATTTGATCAAGAGGCGTCCCATTCCAGATAATAACAAGGGAAGATCTTGTAACACAACTCATGATAATATCAATCCAAGAATGAGGTAAATTAAAATCAGTAAGTTTTGTACAAGAAATCCCAGCTAATTCTATCATATGATTTCTCCAAGTCAATTTTGATAACCATCACCCCCCCCTGTTCTCCCTTTCTTCCTCTTGAGTGAATGAATAATTTCTTGAGTAATAATAACATTATCAATAGTTTGTCTTCCTGAGTTAAAACTACTCTAATTAGGGCTTACCAGGTTGTCCAAAAAGAGTCTCAGTCTCAAAACCAATAACTTAGTCAAAATTTTATAATAAACATTGCGAAGACTGATAGGTCTGAATTCGGTGATCTAGGTTGGGTTCTCAACTTTGGGGATGAGAGTAACCCAAGTTTTGTTAATTTCACTTGGACATTTTCTCCTCCAAACCATCTCCTTGATGTTTTGGCAAACAAAGTGCCCTACCACCTCCAATATTTTTGGAAGAAGAGGGCTTGAAGACCATCAGGACCTGGTCCGTTAAGAGGTTTCATACTAAACAAAACCTGTTTAATTTCCGAGTCTGAAAGTGGGACTTCTAGAAGGTCTCTTTTTTCATTACTCAATCTATTTTGGAATTTGAAATCTCTCTGGTCAAAAGGAACTGCATCTTCAGTTCCAAAAAGGCTAAGAAAATACTATTGGATAGCATTAGCAATCTCATTAGGGTCAGTAAGCCAGATGCCATCAAGATTTTTAATGGTAAGAGGCCTATTCTTTTTACTTCTGGTGATAGTTGAGACATGAAAATACTTGGTATTCCTGTCACCAAAAGTAATCCATTTTGACCTAGATTTCTAGAACCATAAAACTTCTTCTTGTTCAAGGATTTGTTCATAATTATTTTGTAATTCTTCTTCCAATCTAGTCAAATTATGAGAATAATGACAATCCTAGGCTTTTTGGATACCCTGTAACCTAGCTAGGATTCTCCTTTTCCTTCTAAAAAGGTTATCAAAATTTTTAGAGTTCCATTTTTTAGCATTATTTTCAAAAGCAGTCGTTGCCTAAAAGAGAGAATTATTATTCTCTCTCCAAGTATTGGCTACAACTTGCTTAAACTCTGGGTGAGAAGTCCACATGGCCTCAAATCTAAAAGGTCTCAAAAAATTGGGAAGGGAGATGATACATTGCACTTGGATCAACAACGAGTAGTGATCAGAATAAGTTCTAGGGAGGTTAGTAACACTTGCCTCAGGAAACTGAACAGTCCATTCAGAATTTGCTAGAGCTCTATCGAGCTTGATTTTGGTATTAGCGAGGCATTTCCTCTTGTTATTCCATGTGAGTTTAGGACCACTGCATCCTAGATCAATAAGGCCACAATTGTTCATTCTCTCCTTGAACTTCTTGATTCTTCTAGAATGGACCACCGTCTTTCAGCGTGGCTAGAGAAATCATTGAAATCCCCAACCACCATCCAAAGGGTATTGAAGTTATCTCCTGTGCAGCTAAGTTCATCCCAAAGTTGGTCTCGAACAATGGGATTAGGGCTCCTATAAACAGTTGTGAACAACCATTCATTGAAATCCCTTCTTGAGGTGGTGGCATGAATGGCTTGATTAGAAGTTCCTTTTATACTAATATCAATATTAGAGGGGTCCTAGTAGAGCCAAATTCCCCCTGTTCTTCTGTCAGGCTCCATCTTTTTAGAGGCAATAAGGTCAAGTTGCTCAAAAAAGGTTCCCATTTTGAGACTATGAATTTTTGTTTCCAAAGGAACAACCACATCAGGCTTGTGTGCTCTAAAAAAGGGTCATTAAAAACCTTTCTGAATTTCTTATTACCAGCTCTCCTGCAGTTCAAAAAAAGAAATTTCATGGAAGACACCATTAAAAATTGTGATAGAGTTTGTGACACATCTAGATCAAGCTTACTCGTTGCAAGTCTACTGCACTTTTCCATTGGGATCGCTGAATTCAACGATACTGCAGTGGCTTGAATCATTGATGAGCTAAGATTGCATGGCTCCATCACTAGAATGGTTGTTTCTATCGCTCAGTGGACCAACGATATCCACTTGCATTCCTCCTCCAGGAAGAAAAGAAGTCTCATTGAACTGTTGTTCAGTTGAAAAGACTTTAATTTGGAGTTTTCCATCTTGTTTTTCTCTTTCATGTGAACATGGGTGTTGTTCAGTTGAAAAGACTTTAATTTGGAGTTTTCCATCTTGTTTTTCTCTTTCATGTGAACATGGGTCAGGGGATTTAGGGTTAATCTAAAGGGAACCACCACTTTGTAGTGAAATGTAAGGAGGATCTAGGAGAAGAGGTTGTATCGACGAAAAAAAAGTTAAGGCATTTAGGGTTCCTTGGTTGCAAGAGGTGATGGGCAAATCACCTGATCCTTGTCCTTTCTCACTCTACCAAAGCATATTGGAGACCCTTAGATGACTGTGGAGAATCCGAGGCGTTAGAGATATTTTCTTTTGGGCTATGGGTACTGGGTTAGGTTAAATATGGATGGGATATTTGCTCCCGAGTTCTCCTTGACCCAGATTGAGATTCTATCTTAGAAATTGGGCTTAGGTGGTGTTGGTTTGATTATGTTTGGGCTTGGCCACGGGTTTGAGGTCTCAAAACTTCCTGGGGCTGGTGTTGTAAAGCCTAAAAGCGATTGGGTTGACCTTGGCCCCTAGTAGGAGCCGGATTTTTATTGGTCTGCATCCTTCTTCTCCTATGTTGGGCTTTCATCTAAGACCCAAACTCTGCCTCTGAATTTTTCATATTATACCTAACCTGGGTTGAATCCGAGTTACCAAGAGACCGTTGTTGGGTGTCAGAGGTAACTTGCCTTGGGTTATGTGCTTCTTCCCCGGCTAAGGCATGCATTCCGAACGCCATCGGAGATGTTTCCCCATTCGAATGGGGGCAAATAAGCTTCCATGTGTCCTATTCTTCCACAACCAAAGCAGATCATATGAAGGCACTCGTATTCAACTCTAAAAGTCCTATTGCCCAATTTGTATTGTGAAATCAGAGGCTTGCTGAGATCCCTTCCCACGAAAACCCTTGTGAATTTCCCCCTTTCTGTAGCAACAATCTTAATGTTGACTTTAATTAGCTTCCCTAATGCCTTTACTATCTGGAATAATGTCTTCTCATCATAATATTCAAGAGGAAGCTCTGGTAACCTTAGCCAAATACCAGTTGTGATTTCTGACGCCCTAGATGGGATGAAATATGGTTTCCACTTTCGAACAGTGAGATAATGGTTCATAACAATCTAAGGGCCTCCAATGGAGACTTTGATGCAATCCTCTCTCATATGGAACTTGAATGGATAAAAACCATTATCAAGATCGATTGCTTCAAAGTCTCCTTGGGAAGCCCAAATGTTTCTGACTTTCATTCATAACATCTTATATCCAATACTTACCTAGCAGCTTCACAAGAAGATCGTCCCTCCACCTACTACGAATACACAGCAGAGTTTTTTGGAAAAGCTTGATTTGTAGACAAAATTCATCGAATGTATCAATAATAGTTTCCTTCGAAACTCTTTTTTGTCCTTTTTGTTGATCTGCAAAAGTTTCATTGTCTGACAAATCTCCATAAACAGATTCATCAAAGTAAATTACATTTATATCCTCCATGAGGGCTGAAAGATAATTTTTCAGCTTGCAAGTTGTTGTTGGTTCTGGGTTTTCGAACATTTCACACTCTATCCCAACAGCAGTAGGAGAGTATGTTGAGTCCACCAACGTTTCAACTTCAGTTGATGCCAGGTGGTATTCCTTAATTTTTTTTGTGCTTCGTTGCATATGATCGTCTTCTTCCGTCGATCGAGATGGTGGGTCCATTAAGTCTTCTTCCAATATTGAAAAGAAAAGAAAAGATTCAATGGGATCTTGGCTGTGATCAATGCACTCCTTCATTCACTTTCTCAGAAAGCTTTTAGAGAGAGAAAATCTAGAGAGAATGGAGAGCATTAGTGAGTAAAAGAGAAAAGATTCAATGGGATCTTGGCTGTGATCAATGCACTCCTTCATTCACTTTCTCAGATAGCTTTTAAGAGAGAGAAAATCTAGAGAGAATGGAGAGCATTTTAGAGAGTAAGTGCTTCCTTCGTCAACATGCCTCAAAAAAAAAATTAAGAATTGGCTAAACATAAATAAGCTTCCCATCTAATAGATTATTTCTCTATTTTTCTTTTTGGTGAATTGGCCAATGAATGTTACTAACGCATGAATGGTTGATTATCTATCAAGGAAACCTAATAGATTATTTTTTTATTTTTCTTTTTGGTGGATTACCCAATGTGTATAAACTAGAGATAACTTGTACCCGATACAATGTGAATAATTTTAATAAGAATATTGGTAACTATTAGATAAGTCTATTTGAAACCATCAAATAAACTTATTAAAACTTACAATTGGAAGCGATCAAACATTGCTCAAGCTACTAAACTGTTTTGATGGAATGCGAACCACCAGACCACAAAATTTTTGCACCATAACCTGAAACAACTCCATTGGTTAAGATGATCTCCCCACTACTGAAGCCTGATGAGCTGATCTGTGTGATTTCTGCTTCTTCAAGTCTTTTAAGATCGCAGGTAGCATGCAAGAGCACATAAAACCACCAAAATCCCTGTGCAAATAATGAATATTCACTAGCAAGAAATGCCTTAAAGGCCAGGTAAGTCTTCTACAAGTGAAAGGAAGAGACAAAAAAGATACTTGTTAGCTAATCTGCAAATCTTTGTTTTTTTTTGGAAAAAAAACAAATGGTTATTGAATATCTACAAAAAAAAAAAAAAAAAAGGTAGCAATACAGTACAAAAAATTAGTTTTTCCATATCATACCCAAAAAACATTCAGTGATGAATTTCAATCTGAATTATTTGTAGACCATGATCGTGGAATCAATAAGATTTTACACGTGCGTCCCTATCATTGGAAAAACTTAGGCTAGCCTAAAAAATGGATAAAAGGTTTGCATATAATACACTTAAGGCTCGTTTGGTAAGCGTATTAGCAAGGAATTAAATATTTGATTATACTATTTTTTTATTTAATCAAGCCAAACACATAGTTTGATAAACAAATTTGATACCGTATTAATTTCAAAAATATATATTAATCGTATACTTATCATATATTTTTTATACAATAAACCTGTATTATGGAGATTTTTTAATACCACCAAAAGAGGTAGTATTAAAATTCAACTCAAACATATTATTCTACACATTTACTATTATAACCCCAAAGTTATAAAATCAAATTGTCATCAATGTAACAAACACTGATGATGATATTTTTGTTAATTCAACATTAATACAATAAAATAATTTTTTAACCAAACAACCGATTGAATTAAATAACAAATATTCAACGCTTATATTGTGTATTGTCAAACACTAAATAAAATTACGTATTATTATAATATTATATTTAATCTTATCTTTAATATATCTGTATTGTATTAGACTGTATTATTTTATCTAATACATTCATTTTTAATACGACAACCAAACAAACCCTTAATGTCTTAAACAACCCGCTGTAGAACTAATTGTGACTGACCTAATCTAGTGTGCAAATACATCCATGGCATCACAAATTTACATTCACCAATTGGGTGGAAATTTGAGTAACCATGAACTAGTCAATAAAAGCAGTGAAAAACTTGCAAGAATCCTTTGAAAAATTATAATAAAACTATGCAAAGAAAAAAGAAATGTAATGATGACCTGTTCTCTAGTTCTTGACAACTTAGCCTCTTGACCTTGATGATTGACTACGAGAATAAGATGATGATAGCACCTGCATGGGAAATTTTTTACATTGTCATTGACAGCAGGTTTCAAGAACTAGATAATGTCATCAGTTTTTTTCCCTTTCATTAATGATTTAGTCAAGTTGCCAAAGACAATTTGGTTAGAAGTAATCATTTTGTATGATTAGCATTGCCCCTGCAGATGTGTACACAAAGCAACGAGCCTATGGAAACACTGTAATGCTCCGATTGGTAAGAGGTACAGAAAATTGAGAGGAAGCGAAACTACGAGTGGAGAACAAATTATAAAGGCCATGAAGCATGAAAGTGAGGGATTAAACAATTTATAAAAGCAAAACCCATATTGGGTTGGAATGTCCACTAAGAGGCCGCATAGCTCCTGAAAACCAGTACCATATTGGGTTCAATCACAAAAAAGTTGCAGAAATAAATCAGAAAATAATGAAAACAATAATTGCAGATTGCATGTCAAATCTTCACATTCAAAACTATAATCCCTAGCCTTTTCCAACGGTAAAAAATGTTCAAGTTAATTTACGCATACTTTGATTAATTCCCTCATCAGTCTAAAAAGACATCTACTCTAGAATTAAGATATTCATGAGGAATAAATCCATCATCATTTGACTCCAAAGGATTATCATTATTCAAATTGTTGATGTCTTAATTTACAGTTCGTCTCTCGTACCTTTTTCAAAAATACTTCTTAACACAAGATATGCCTAAAAAGTGGTGCCATTCCGCTCATGTTAACAAACACTGAGTATTTTATTTTAGATGTAATTGTTGTATCTGAAAATCTAATTTCATACTTCATCGGCAACCCAAATAATTTCCTGTTAATGATAAGCTACCTAGATTTATGTTTGTCCTGACATATCATTGAGTGTGTGCAGGGTAAAAAACTTATAACAATCACATACCTGATAGGTCTTTGGCCCTTTTTTTAGTAGATAACCAACACTGTTTAGATTATCTACAAATGTGTCAATATCTGGAACCCTCAAGCCTATCTTATCTGCCAGACTGTATATTTCCTGAGAAAAATAATCAACATGTTAAACATGAATTTTCTGTTTAAACCAAGATTCCCCATATTGAAAAAGTCCACATACAGAGATAGTAAAGCAATCTTTTTGCTGCAACTCTGACTGCTTATTCAGGGCACTTAAAAACCGTTTTGCTTCTTTCTGTTGACTCATCCCCCCACTCCGACCAAAATCCACACAACCGTGTTCATCGACGTACTTATCATACAAGGATTCTTTCATTATTCCAACAACATCCTGTAAAATAGACTCACAAACAGCATTGCATAAAATAGGTGAATTGAGAAATTTTATAAATCTAAGCATGAGAGATATGCACATCATCAGTTGTCAAGCTTGTAGTTGAATTTGATAGTGCTTATAATTCACAAACCTCAAGGTCACAGGTTTTGTTTCAGTATAACTAGGCATGAAAAAGAGGCATGCTTAAACGAGAGCTATGACAATTAAAGATCCGTGCACATTCTCAAATATACATTTGGACTTGGAGCTTCCCTTCTGAAAACTGAGCAATAAAATGTCTGGTCTTTTAGCAAAATAAATAAAAAAAAAATTGGCATATCATCCCTCATAAGAGGTGAACATCTTATCTACTAGCGAAGTGGAAAATCACACTCAGATTAAAACAAGGATTGTTCAGAGACTGGTGCTTTGAATTTTTGAATGCAACAAGATTTGACTACTACCATTTAGACTGATGACTATGTTAAATATAAACTTTCATACTATCGAGCAATTACCAAGCTACTGTTCGCAAAATGAACTTACCAAAGCATCTTGCTCAGTTATGTCTTCTCTTAAATCCACTCTAGCTCGAGCCTCCGCCAGCCTTACCAGGCTTTCTAACTGCCTCGCAGTTATTGGTGTACCATCAGCAGATGTGTTATGGTCTCTTAAGCGTAAATAAAACTTCTGTAGAATATCTGCTGCTTGCCTTGACATCCTGATCCAATGAAAAAGAAAATGCAGGAATTAGGTGTCAAACTAAAGTAACCTACATAAGAATTGTGCATTCTAAAAAGCACATCAATCACCTAGGAAAGACATAACTTCGGGCATAAGCAATATATTTGCGCAGAAGAGGGCCAGGCAATGGAACAAAATCGCCGTCTTTTCTAGGGTCAAGTTTCAAACTTGAAACTAGAGAACCACTTTTCACATTCAAGTCCATGTCTCTAACATTCTGTAATGCTGCAACTTGTAAAATAAAAGTTCAGATTATTACAAAACTTCTTCAATGGCAAATCTTAATTCACCAGAAGTTGAAACACCACCTGTACATAGCCTTTTTGCCACTGGTGAATTTTGTCCGTTTCCAGCATGAAGCTGCAAAAGAGATGCTAAGTTAGATGTTTCTCATATGTATTGGCACTGAATGCCGATGTCATGTATTTGTTACAATGCTCATGATACATCAGTGTCATCACTGTCATGTAAATATGCATGCAAGGAGTAGCAATCCTTTTTGAGTAAACCTAGAGATAAATGACTTAATATGTGCCGAGACTCACGTCATCAGTTTATGACACAAGTTATAGGCATGATAAGCATTGTGGGTCAACATGGTTCTTAAGGATATTCTTCATACCAACAAAGTCAAAAGGCGCCACTATTTCAAAGAACTCCAGAATTGTGCCCCCCAACAGTTTGATCATGCCTACAACATCAATTTCTTGATTATGTTCCATATATACCAAGCAATTAATGGTGGCGTGCTGGAGGGATAGACAGGGTATAGATCTAAGCTTTAGCCTCTGTCAGTGCCACTGATCCCTTCACTGGAATGGAGTCCCAATGGTATGCCAGATAAGAGTGATTTGTTAGATTTGGGTCGTCTTCAGAGTGAAACAGGGTCATCACATGTGTCAGCCCAAGTGACACATGTGACATGCTAGTGTTGTACTATAATTTCACCAATTTCGACATGCTTCTTTTTCATCAACATACAAAGATCATTCCAAAACAAATCTGCATGTAGATGAGTCACAAGTTCCCATGTCTGAAAGGTGCAAGTGGTAAATAATTCCCAAACGTGAAAATGTCTACTTACCAAAAGACAAAATGGTTTCTGCATAGCTGTTTAATCATACAAATCTACGTTGTACACAACCATTTTGGCTATTCATATCTCTGCCTCTGGTTGAGGCATATAGAGCATGTTGTCAAGTATCAACTCATGCATGAGACAAAGGGGTTAGTCAGGATAACTTACTGACATAATGTGCTCCGAGACTCGCTTATCCAGTAGTTCATCCGGTTTGTCAAGTAGTATAAAAACCAAATCAAATCGCGACAGTAGAGCAGCACTCATTTTCAAGTTTTCATTCACAGTTTTTGCGCGGCTGCAATGCAAATACAGATAAAATTTACTACAGGAATCTGCACTAGTTATAAAAACAAGAAAAGCAGCCTCTCTTATCATTCTATCTCTGCTAAACTACCTGAATTAGAACATGATAATAATAATTTTACTATTTCACCTTCTTTGTATCAATTTAAATAATTGAACATTAAAATGATCGAAAAGAGAAAAAGAAATAAATAGTACAGAAAGAGACAATTTCTGCTTGAACTTGACAGTGACAAACACATATCAACTCCAAGTAGTGTCACAAATCAATTAGATTGTTTTACCCGTTACAGTGCCAACTAATGACTAAAGTCTTACTGCTATTGAGCTAGGATTGGCTATGTATCACGTGGTTCACTAAGAAAACAACTTCTGAAGTGCATCAATTTTCAGTATCCTGATATTCCTCAAAGCTTAGACCAACTGATATACCAAAGAGAAATTTTGAATGTATTACTTATAATGACCGCCAACAGGGTTTGCTGCTGCTAGAACAGATGTTCGCGCTGATAAACTTGCTACTAGTCCTGCCTTTGCAACAGAGACACACTGCTGCTCCATAGCTTCCAGTAGAGCCTGAACGCATCTTAAAATAGTAAAACTCATTCCTCATTTTTTGTGATAGATTAAAACAAAACTCAGTTTACCACTTCAAAGCGGCAAAATAATATTATGTTGACAATCATCCTGATTTCAGACCTGGTGTTCTGCAGACATTTTGTCAAATTCATCAATACAGCATAATCCACCGTCAGCGAGTACCATGGCACCTGTTGAAAAAAAGTTTGTACTTGCATAATATATAATTAACTTTTTACGTGCATATGCATCCAAAGACCATAATAACCACTTATGCTCCATTTTCTTGCATGTTGTGAAGTTCTCATCGGTCACCAAATATTCATGACTTAGAAAAGTGTCACTACAAGTATTCTTGTTTTAATGCCTTACTATGATTATTAATGATGGGTTACATGAGAAATCAACTATTCAACTACGACCAAATAATTGATACATAAATCTGTTTCAAACCTATTATTGGGGAAATTCCTGATCTTTGGCCATTTCTCAAAAAGATTTTGTTAAAGCTGGAAAACATTAAATTATTTCTTGTGGTATTTTCTATATTTTTGCCTAATTCTAACGTATGATTGTTCATAATTTGCATTCACATTGGAGAATAAGATAGACGGGAAAGTACTCAAATATAACTGAAATTAGAAGCAAGCCATCAAGACCTCCCATGCAGAAAGAAATAAACAAAATACAAGACAAACATTATAAGCTATTTAAGTATCAGCCTTCAAGGAGTTTCAAACTGTTAGATGTGCCTTAATCAGCTGCACATCCTGTGCAGTGATGGCCTTCAGCCACTACTAACTAGACAATAGAACATTCAAAATCACAAAACTTTTCGATTTTATCTCAGTCTACTGTGTGACGTTTTGCAAGAACAAGAAACATAACAAGATCACTCCTCTGAAGCAACTAAGGTTCCTCTATGGCTCATATATATGAAAGTAAAACAAACATCAAGAATTGACTATCAGATGAACATTCTATTACTTGAACTAGTTGTCAGAAAAACAGAACTCTAGCCTGTTAAGCATCACCAATAAATCACGACTTGAATCATAGGTAAACCACAAACAATATGGTAATATTATCTTTCTGAGTTAAAAATAAGAGAAAGAAGAAAATCTATACCAGCTTCAAAAGCATAGTCACTAGTCATAGGATCCTTCACCACAGTGACTGTGAGGCCAGCATTGGTTGTGACATTACCGCACACATAAATGCCACGTGGAGAAATAGCAGCTGCTGCTTGGAGTAGCTGACTCTTACCCAGTCCAGGATCACCTAATAATATGACTTTTAGCATTGATCAAGCTGATTTTGACTACCATTAATTTACAACTGCACATAATCTTAAATTCTCAATAAATCACTATTATTGAGAACCTAAAACAACTTTCATGAAATTTGCATACCAACAACTATTACATGAATGTCTCCTCTAACTGGAACTTTGTTTTGATCCATTGAATGCTTTCGTACACCTCCAAATAAGGCCAATGTAATTCCCGCTGTTGAGAAGAAAGTGAACCAACATCAGTGCACCACCACTATTATAATACTATAGTGTTATATGGCATGTTCACCAAGATCAAGGAAATAATTAAATATGCAAACAGATAAAGAAGGGTTTTATGTTTGTCCACATGCTACCCAAGATGTTAGTATTTGAATTAATCTAGACTATATTTCTGCAATTTTTTATTTTTTTTTGAAGTCATCAATGATGCATGAAAACATCAAGGGATGAAGGAACTTTACAATAAAGATTTTTAGAAACTCAGGAATTTCCAGTTCTAAAACACCACAACTATATACTATCATGAACCACAAATTGTATATATCGAAGTAAAATTAACAAAATTTCCAAAGGGGTGGATCAAAGTTAAATATCAACATTTCATTTTTTTTTGCATCAAGTCAGCAAGTTTCTGAATTTTTACGACTTCACATTACCAGAATGAAATGTTTGATTGAAAAAATTCCCATAAAAAAATTTAATGGTTCCTAAGCACTTAGAATGAATCCACGTGCATACAAAACTATTGCAAAGGCATAAAGCTAAAGCAATGCATGATATGATGCCAACATTAAGACCTTTTGGGAGGACAATATGACTACTTTTTATTCGCGCCTGGTGGTGTATGCATTACATTTGAAAGAATGGGGGTAGAATATGGGGACTTATTCTTTTCATTTGACCAAAAAGGGAAAAACTACTACATAAAAATACATATATAATGAATAATTATTTATATCTACCTTTAACAAGCTCATGTCCATAGATGGAGGGACAAACAGACTGAAGCATTTGTCGGAAGATATCTGAACCATGTTCCTCAGAAAATTTGATAATAAACTCTAAATCTCTTGGGGAAAATGAGAACAAATCAAACAACGGTGTAGCTCCAGCATCAGCAATAGTATCTTGCAAATCCTCGGGCATAGCTTGCGACTTGGAATTTTTAATTGAAACTGCTTCTACATACAAATAATATAATCCTTGATTCTTGGATTTTGATTTTCCTGAAACATCAAAGTTTGCTTACAGTCCCATCCAACACAGGCATTTAGATATAGTTACACAGCTGCACAATGTCTATTTGTGCTATCACAATTGAGGAGGATTGTCTCTAATATCCTATACACTATATGGGAAGCTTAGCAACAAACTATTGTATCCACCAATATTTCAATGAAAAAGGCCACAATTAAAGTCAAATTTACTTGTGTAATAACTGATAAGCATGACATGACCCATCATGCTCTCTTCCAGTGAAAAGGATACTATTTTTGTTTGACTATTTTAGTACTACACTTATTAAGGTTGGATGTTGGAGGCTTTATAAACTTTGACTGCACATTACTACTTTTATATTCCATTGAAGATTGAATGAACACTGGATAAGGTGGACACTATATAGCAAGGTATACTAAATATAGTTAGTTGCTCAACCTAGTTAACATACCTTTCTGGATCCAATTAGGCATTGCTTTGTCAAGTGATATATATCAGTGATTTTTTTTTCTCTGAGCGAACTGTGAACGTAAATCTAGCTATTGGAGAACAAACAATCTGAATAATTGATCGCAGAGTGCCTATCCTACTATTAATCACTATGTTTTTATTACAGGTAGGCTGACAATTAGGTGATTCACTTTGTTTTCAGTAGACCCCGTCTCAATAGACCCATTGCCAATGATCAATTATTTCTAAGTGAACCTAAATATTCACTTCACATGCTATATAGCAATTTGAAGAAATGATCTTAAATCTTTGTGTACTGACCTCTAATCGAATTGTTTGCAGGTTTAAAACCAAAAAATATTTGTGTTTTCCTCGAGGTTTTCTCACATTTTCAATACAACCTTTCTTATGGATTGCACCAGACTCCAATTCTTTTTGACGTCAAATCTTTCACAGTGCTATTGTAGCTATGAAACTCTTAACTGTTGACATATAGCAGTCTCACAAGGGTAATAGAAGCTGAAAGAACCCTAAAATCTGGTAAGCCCCAAAGCGACAAAGATTCAAAGTGTTGATAAGATTAGTCCATATCAGTTTCAGGCCAGTATGTCAGCAGGCATGTGCCACTTCAAATTATTCAAAACTACTTCAAACCCCCACAACTTCATAAACTCTATATTCTCCAAATTCTGAAGGATGTACACAACAAAAATAAGTGTGATGATAAGAAACAGATACCATAGATTTGCAAGATGGGCACAATTGTGTTCATTGCAAGGTGTAGCTCCTTGATTCTATTAAAATGGAAAGAAAAGGAAACGTGGTGGATGATTTTGAGCAGATATTTCAACATATGCTATTCAAAAACTGGGCACCAAGATTTAAAAGCCTATCATGTGTTCAGTAGTACAGAAACCTCTGAGAAATAATTTTGTGTGCTTAAAGAAGTTCATACACGTTACAAAATATAATATATCACACATAGAAACCCATTAAAAACCTTTGATCAAAAAGATTAAAGAATGAATTAATAGGATATGCATAAATGTACTAACTGCATAGGTTTTTTCCTCTTTTTTTTGTTTTGTTGTGTGTTTGTGGGGTGGTTCTTCTTTTCAATGCAAGATTCTTCTTCTCAAGTATGGACGCATTACATTTGTGATGACAACATTCTGAAGTCATTTAAGATGGTTATGATAATGTTAACAAATATAGACATACAAAATAGATTTTACATAAACCACCAAGTATATATATTGATTAGGCAAAATCCTTCTAATATGTGAGGGAATTACATGTATGCTAATCTATGGAAAGTGGAAACAATATGTCAAAGAGAACACTTTACTATACCTCCTCCGATATCCATGTAGTTATTAATCACCCTTATAATACCCGTAACTGTCACAATATCTCCAGGGATGCATGCATCTACAAGATCTTCAGTCAATTCACATTCTACTATCCGAGGCACTCGCCCCTCTTCGTGATGTTCAGACTTGAGCAGCTCCTGAATTCTGGAAAAGCATATTTGAATCATGAAATTATGAAATAAAATGGAAAGAGAAAGGATTGTTGATTTGACCACCAAAAGAAGGATAAAATAGAACATGGGCATCAAAGATGGCATTTGAGTGCTTACCTGATTTTCTGAAAGTCTATTGGTTGAGCGCTAGATCTAATTGGAATAAAAGTTCTGCTTTTGCAGCCGTGCATTGTGCAAATTGGCGGTGGGGAAAATTTCCCATCAGGAAAGTCACGTGTAATGCCGGTTCCACACTTGGCACAGGAAAAACTCATTTGTAACACCAGAGGTCTAACTGTGCTAACTTTTGCTACCGTACCACGTACTGATACAAGCCTGTCTATCATATCACTGCATTATATGCTTATTTGTGGTACCCACATACCTGAAAAAATGCTGAAGTACTTCTGAAATTTGAAGTTACCAATATAAGCTGCTTTTAGGTTCTTCAGAGCAATCATAGATTCAGGATAGTTGTGCAGACGGATATTTATTTTTGCACAATTCTCCAACATGATGCTTTCCCATTGGGTAGATAGAGCCTACTTCCAGTGCAAAAGTAATTGATAATGAGGGAGAGTATTATTTTAAATATGTGAAACAGCAATTAAACCTTTAATCCTTTCTTTGTACCTTGTGCACTGCAGCACTCAGGCACAACAGAGTGTCCTTAGGTTTCTCCATTAGAGCTGCATAAAATTCCTCAAGTTCACAAGTTTTTCGGAACTGTTGGAAGTCAAGTGACAAGAAAAATATGCCATCATCATCCTTCACCTATACATGTAATTCACATATCAGTTTCCTCCAATCACAATGAAACTTCTTTAAGATATTTATAACCATTATTGAATTGAATTATATCAAAGCGAAGCAAAAAATTGGAGATTGTGATAAACATTTACTATGTAACGCTTTAAATATACATGCAATAACTTGATGTTTGACTATATACTAGTGAACAACCTTAAAATTATAGTAAGACAGTAGGGGGCAAACCAATATGATTTGGGGATATTCAAAGTTGATTCCAGTTTCAATTTTTTGTTGGCGCCACCTGGCCCGCAATACACACACACACGGATGTTTATCAAGCTGCGGTCTCTGTAGGAGCAATTCAGCTGAGAGTTTGATGTAACTACATAGACTTTTCCTGAGTATCAGCACGCTTCAATTTGACTCACTCAATTCACACTTTTTAAACAATAGATGCAATCGCACATTTGCTTCTCAAAATCAGCATTCACTGTGTACACAATGACTCAAATGCCTGATATTTTCGGTTCAGCAAATCATGTCTACCACAAGTTCTCACCAATTTGTGTCCATGTATATTCATACACACGCGTGTGTGTTTGTGTATATAGATATCTACGGAGAGAGAGAGAGAGAGAGAGACAGACCTGAGACGCGATTTGCTGTCCTAATGGAGTAGAGAAGAAGCGAACGAGGTCGGAGGTGAGACTGAATTTCCACTTGGACTCATCGACAGAGAAGTCGATTTGGGGGAAGTATATCGCTAAGATGTTCGCGATGTCACTTGTGTCCATCGATCGGTGCTTCGTGTTCATGATCTCTGCGTGACGTCCGTACATCTCGATTTGAAACACACCGATAAGTTTCTTTGAGACTGATTTTCTCTTTTGAATCGTTTCTGAAACTATGGTCTCTTGTTTTGGCGGGAAAGAAAGTCAGGCCTTGCTTTGAGAAGGAGATGAAGTTTAAACGCCACTCTCTGCTCACGTTAGATGGGTAATATTATTCTTTACTAACATGTACCCAAAGTAAAAAGTTGACAATAGAATGAGAGATATTTGTTTGCGGTACACTTTTAATAAATTATTTGTCAAAAAAGTCCAATTATTAATTTTTTTTTTTGTTAAGAAGTACGTTTCGAATTAAAAAAACTCTAACACTATTAATTATCTATTTACTGAATTAATTAAATTGAATTAAGAAGCAAAATCTTTTTACTAATTGAGTTACTATTTTTACGGAATTTCATTCAAACTCTTTTAAATACAGAATGCTCATGCAAGATTCAAGGGAAAAACTTTTAAATTGATGCAATTCTTCCATAAAAATGTGCAATCGAAATTCTTTCCATAAAAAAGGTCTTGTATTAAAATGTTATGATTTTATTAAAAGGTTTTTACTTTTTAATCCCCAAATCCCTAAAAAATTCAAAAACCTCATGAATTTAAATTCGTAAAAAAATAGAGTGACATAATTAAGAAAGAGCATGACATCAAAACAAGACATCAAATAGTAAATTCACACATTAAAGAGGGGTGTGGCTCCTTGCATATCATGCGATTTAATTGGACAGCATCATTTTGAGCCTTTTTTGGATTTTTTTTTTAAAAAAAAAACTCACCAAAAATAACGTCAATTTTTGTCCATGGCATATCAAAATCAGACAAACCATCTCTTCCGTTTCTTCTTCGTCAAACAGTTTTAGTTCTCCCTCCTTCTTCGTTAAACAGTCTGGCTTTTCCTGCATTCTCCCTTCTTTTTCGTCAAATAGTCTGTTTTCTCCCTTCTTCATCTCAAAATAAGAGATCCCCTTTTCTCCCTCTTCTTCTTCGTCAAATGCCGGTATGGTATCGAAACCAAATTTCGTTCATATCATTCATTTTTTATTTAGTTCTTTCATTCGTTTTTGTTGTTTTCATTTCATGCTTATGCGTAGGTTTTCATTTTTCATTATTTTGTTTTTAAGTTTTTAAGTTTAGGTCAAGACATATATTATGTGTGGAACTTGAAACAATTAATATTTTCTATTTTTATGGTTAATGTTGTTCTAGTTTGATTTTTATTTTTTTGGAATGTCATACGTATATTATGTGTTTCATTCACCACATAATTTCATTTCAATTAATCTTTTTATTGCAGGATACTATGATGGATAATTTGGAAGTTAACGCAACTGAGAATAAACCTCATATTAATATGCAATTTGATACTGAAGAAGATGATTATGTGTTTTACAATAATTATGGAATGTCTATGGAATTTAGCGTGAGAAAAGATTTTTAAAATAAAAGTTTGAAAGATGACATTTTTATTTTATAGAAAATATGTTTGTTGTAAATAAAGTCAAAGGGTTCATGATAAAAGAGAGTGACAAATAAGAAAACCTTGAGCAGAGACACGAACAAATTGTCAAGTTCATATGCATATATCTCTTAATAGAGAAATTGATATATTTGTTGTGGTAAAATGAGATAACAACTACAATCATTCTTTGTACCTTGTTAAATGTATGCGTATGATATCATCTCAACAAAAAGTTACCAAAACACATGGTATTAATATTGATATGACAGCGGATTGTGGAATATCACTTATGGCTTCCTATGAACTTTTGAGTACCGAGTTGAGAGGAAAATAAAGTCTAGGTTTTACTCGTCAAGACCAAAAGAATTACCTCCGTGAAATGAGGCAACGAGACTTGAGGTATGGTGAGGTGGATAGTTTGTTGAAGGTTTTTAAACGGAAACATCTAAAAATCTATCATTCTATTATGGAGTACAATTGAATATAGAGGAGCATATTACTAATATTTTTTGGGCCGACCTAAAGATGATTATTGATTATGGCAACTTTGGGAATGTTGTCTTATTTAACACTACTTTCAGAACAAACAAGGAATATCGACCATTTGCTTGTGTTTACTGGTTTCAACTATTTTAGGGAGATAGTCTTATTTAGAGCTACATTATTTTATGATGAAACGACAACATCATTTCAATGATTGTTTGAGACATTCCTACAAACTACGTTTGAGAAATATCCTATTACCATCTTCACCGACCAAGATCAAGCAATAGCTAAGGCTATTTCTCAATTGATGCCACAAACATACCATGAGTTATGTTATTCGACCATTTGCCAAAATGCTTTAAAACATTTAGGGAATATATATAAGGATGGTTCACATTTTTTTACTCAATTTAAAGAGTGTGTGTATGGATATGAGAAAGAGAATGAATTATTTAAGACTTGACAATCTTTGCTTGCGGAGTATAATTTGTGTGATAATATATGGATGAAGTCCACTTGGGCGTTGCGAGAGAAATGAGAGCATGTGTATATGAAGAGAACTATCACTGCAAGAATGAAAAGCACCCAACTAAGTGAGAGCTTGAATGCAGCCTTACAGAAGTACTTAAAGCCAAGCCATGACATTGTTCAATTCTTTGTATATTTTGAAAGAGTTGTGAATGATAAGCGGTATAAAAAGTTAAACTCAGACTACCAAGTTAAACAAAAATTACCTAGATTAAAGTTAAAAAGAGCTCCAATTAATGTTAGTCCAAGCAGAGCAAGTGTACACTCCTACTATATTTGAGCTGTTTCAAGATGAGTATGATATATTTCAGTGTGCTATTATGACACTAGATGATGTGTTGGATGAGTGACATCAATTTGTGGTTCGATTATTTGATGAATATAGAGAGTATTTGATCTTGGTTAAGGCTAATGAGGAGATAATCAATTATAGTTGTCGAAAGTTTGAAATGGAGGGCATATTATGTGCTTATGTACTTAAAGTCTTGGACATGATGAATATTAAGTAAATTCCTGAGCAATACATACTTAAGAGATGGAGACGAGATGCAAGACAGAGTTGTACTCAGGCCCCTAGTACCATGTCAAATGAAAAGGATTCCAAGTTAATGGTGATGTTATGTTACAGACAGCTTTGTCCTAGAATAGTACAACTAGAAGCTCGATGCTCTAGTCTTCAACGTGCATATCAATTGGTGTCACGTGGTGTTTAGGAAATTTTCAAGCAAGTGGATATTATGTATGCATCAATTGGTGATGATGGCGATGATTCAATCCGTGAAGAAGGAATACAAAATGTTGACTCAAACCTTCTTCAAGTTAAAAGTTTAAAAAGAAAAGAGGGAGATTACAAGGGTTGGAGTCGACTAAAATCTTGGCATGAGAAAGCACCAAAGAGAAAAAATGGAGCTTCACAACCATCACTTATGTCTAAGGTATCATATAAATATAATTGTAGGTATTTTAATTCATTTTATATTTTTATAAACATAAATGTACTTATAATAATATTTTGTATTCAAAGTACATGGTTTCAATCACTCATGTATATCGGCATATGGTCATTCAATATATTGTCTTCTCAAGTTTCGAATAGTTTACAAAGTATTATGGTATGTTACCTTATTACTAATTTTGTTGTTTCACATATATATCAAGTTTCTTTATTTGATCCTTTCTTATTAATGTAGGGTACTCCGACTGATTCAACACATGTGCATTCTTTAAATGATGTAGAATCATTTTTTATGAATGACTTATTCGGTGATGATTTGCGACATATACAATGAGCAGCAGTTGTAAGGATGCTTGGAGGATACTAGCCATTTGTCGGATTAGGAGATACTAGATGCTTTGGAGATAACTGTTGGAATGATATTTTGTTGAAAACCATGTATTTTGTATTTTTATTGAACATGATCATGATGCATTATATTGATTATGCGCCTTTTTTTTAACGAATATTATCATTTTTAATGAACACGATCTTTTTTCATGAACATGATCTTATTTGATGAACATGATGATTTTTTGATGAACATGATCTTTTTTTCAAATCACAACACTATACAAAACCCACAAGCTCATTCAAAAAACAACCCACAAATTCATTCACAACATAAGTTCATTCATAAACACAAGTTCCATTAATACACATTGCTCTTATATCTCTACTTCACTAGAATCACAAACATAAGCATCACCACTAGTAATGTGGCTACAAACATATATGACTTCATTGCTCCTTTATTTGCCTCAACACGATGAACTATATTAGAAAGTTCTTTAATCTTCAACTTCAATGTCATTAAATCTTCTTCAATTCGTCGTACATCTATCCTTTCATTTGTAATTTCTGAAAAAGGCAAAGTAGTAGGAGTTAGCTACTTAAAAAATTGGCATCCCTCGTCCGGACTTTTGTAGTATAGCTTTCCAGGATTTTTTGCAAATTCAGAAACTTTGATAATCACTCTTTTCTTACAATTAGTGAATTGTATATTGCAAAATCTTAAATTCGCTGTTATTTGTTGCCATGCTTGAAGATTTTATTCTTCAACACTACAAACATGAAAGGACAATGGTAATTAAAACTCAACATTATAAGTTGCAACCCATTCATTCATGTTTCTGGTATAGCAAAATACAACAATATTCATTCAACATGTTACCCATATAGCAAAACTCAACATGTTCACTCATTCTCTGTCAAAACTCAACATGCCTAATTGTCTACATTCTTGATTGCAAGAAAAAGTTATTAGCAGTGCTCCAAACAAAAGATTCTAAATTATTCCATAAGTATGTAGATGTGGAACCACAATGGCGAAACCAAGTAGAGTTTTGGAAACAAAAATTTAAAATCATTGACATCTAAAAATCTATACTTTACTGTGTTGTTCTATTTTACCGTTAAAGAGTTTTACAATCACGTACATATACAATACATACATAGAGATAAATCAACATATATCACATTTGTGAACTGAACTATACAGTTCTACAATCACCTACAAATACNCTA